TTAAACAAAACATTTGAAAAGCGTTAAAAATGTAGATTTCAAACGCGTTTAAAATATTAATTTTAAACGATAGGCATCATACAATTAATTAAATTTTAGTGCAAATATATTTCAGACTAAAATTAAACTTACATTTTCCTAAATTGTTCAAAAATCACTGAGCGGCAAGACCACTCATATCTTTTGCAAAATATATCTGTCCTTGATTTAAAAGTATTTTCGTATATTGATGCATTTATGAACTTGCCAATTCTGAAGCGCACGGCGTCCGTACACCATAGATAAGACATCACCGCTGATTAATGCATGGAATATCAATATCAGGTATAGTTAGTACGCCCCATAAGCACAAGCTTTTGAAAAGCTCAATTTTCAACGTATACCGCTAGTTTGACATAAGTAAAGGTTTATAAATAAAACATTTTTAAAGCAGTAAATAATAAATGCAAATGCATTTCCGGTTCAAACATAACAGAATAGAAGAGGAATGAAGTTACTAAGTAACGAAAGAAAGAGAATTAAAAAATACACGATATATATATATATATATATATATATATATATATATATATATATATATATATATATATATATATATATATATATATATATATATATAAATTTTTACGTTAATTACAAGACAATGTGCTTGAAACACAATCTCGAAATACAAAAAATGCCTTCTTGACCACAAAATAAATAAAGTTTTAATATTACCAGAGTTTCTTGCAATAACCTGTTGTTGATTCCCGCCTTCTTACGCTATAATAAGCTCTTCAGCGGGTTTGCAGGGCGGGCGGTAGTTATACTCTATTATCCGCACATACCCGGAAAGCTACTAACGTCCTTGTTGAGCTGATGTATGACATTACCAGTGACTTACATAGTGACCTTTTCAAAATATAGTTTAAAGTTAATTACTATTTAAAAGGCATAGTTACACAACCACTATAATGTATAGAAAGTTCCTTTAGTGCAGACGAAAACGTCATTTTCTAACCAGACTTAGTCAAGGAAGTCTCACTAAACACTTGTCATCTTTACAGACAATAGGGCAAACACGAAATATATATCTTATAGACACGAAAACAGATGCCCACTCATCTTCAGCTGTTCGATAAGAAAGCCCTGAATTATTTTTGATAATATACTCTTAATTGATAAATGCCTTGATAAATATTGTAAAATAAGTTTTAGGGGCCTTACCGCTGGCCGAGTAGAGTTAGGTGCTGAAAATTGAGAGCCCAGGCTCCACGTCACTCGATGTTAGGTTCGATCCTCAATCTGGGTCGAATCTTCATGTGAGACAAGACATCCATTGCTGGCTTACGAAGGTCGTGGTTCTACAGCAGGTGCCCGCAAGCGTGCCTGAAATAGATGCCCCGGAGGAGGCAAAACCTGGGGTCTTTCCTCCACCAATAAAGCTGGAAAAAGGATCGACGAACAAAATCTCAGGCCGGACCGCATCTAAGATGGTCCGGAACTTGAGTGTGCGTCGCCATATGGCCTTTCGGCGGCGACACTGGTTTAAATAAACGGCAATTACAAAAAATGTAATGTACATGACATGTTTACATATTGTCATATAGTTAATATATATTTTTTAAGGAAAAGCTGTTTTTATTCGCAACGTGGCGAGAAGTATTTGCAAATTGTAAAAACGCTTAAAGGGAGATAAAAGATATTCCATATCTAATTATTTAAAACACTCTTGTCGCTCTTGAATTACGAATGGTAATGCAGCGAATTTCGCAATTTGTGCAATAACAATGTTATCAATTAAAATGAACTTTCTCGCTGCATTTTATAATAATACATAGAAATGTATATTATATTATAAAGAAACAAAATCACGTTTAACGATACGTGTCAAGTTACATAAACATTATAAAAATGTACTATTTTTGAAATTCAAATGTAGTTAGGTTAACAAGTTAGCCATGTACTGTCACACGTACAATAACTTAAGTACATTAAATCTGGGATGCTAGCACTCTAACGAGTATCATTATAACGAATGTTCTATATGTTAAATGTTTCATATTGGATATAAGTATGTAGATGTTAAGGATAGCACGACTAGATACTAGGGATAACCACAATGATCTATTGCTGTTCATTAGTAAAATGAGTTTTGTCTGTATGCTTTACATGCGGCATGGAATGAAAATGTAATACATGCTATCTTTCAATTTTGGATACATGTGACTATTGATATACAAAAAGTCAAGGATATCTTTTTCAAAATTTGAATACATTAATATAATCGACACTACCAACAGAATTGCACAGTTAACTTGAAACATAAATCATAATGAAATTAAATTAAGAAAATTTTATCCAGTAAAATGCACATTTCTGACTGAAATAAATACATGTATTGAAATGTACAACTACACAATGCCTATTCTTTTGTTCTTAAAAGTAGCTAATAGATATAAGAAGGTATGAAAGGGATATCAGACGTCAGGCAAGTGTGTGTTGTACAACGTCATTTTGACGTCGTTTATTCACTTTAATAGCGTCCATTGCGTTTAGTCAGAATATTAACGAAATAACACACACAAAAAAATCCTGCATATAAGAACAGTGGTGTAGCTTGACATTGGGACTTCTTTTACTACTTCATTCAGATCTATTTCCTCATTTAAGACTTTTTTACGAGGAAGAAAAAAAAGTATCAATAGTATTAAAAAATAATCTTGCAAAATCAAAATCTACTTCCATTAGTACTAAGTCTTATTCCGTTAAACATCAAGAATGAATTAATGTGCTGTTAGTTTTCTCGGAAGATAAAGAGATCAAGTTATTATTCATATATTATTAAACCGATCAGTAACGGAGAGTAGTCGAATCACTGGTGCTACTGGAACATACATTGGCTGTTTTAAAGGTGTGTACGTTTTAAATCTGTTTGATAGTGAATAAAAGAATTATGTTGACATAGGGTATTATAATTTGAGTGCTATACAACTGAACAGAAAATGCGTATATGTCAAATATAATATCATATTTATAATGACATTTTTATAATGATGAATATAAAACATAAATAAGTAAATAAATAAGTAGAAAATGAATCAGAATCAAACAAAACAATTAATGAATTCAGATAATTAACATATAATGAAATTGGTGTTTTTAGTTAGTAGTGGTTTTAAGCTAATGATTTTATACAAAAAGACAATGAGAAAAAAAACCACAACAGTATTTCAAGCTCAGCTATTCTTTTACTCTTGCATTTCTTGTTCTGCCATTTTGTGATAGACATAAATACTTTATATAATCTTTTGATATAAACGATATATTAAGTTATAAACAGACAATTTTGCAAGTCATTCAGTGGATTGTATTTTGTAAATTTATATGAGTTATCAAGTCATTCAGTGTATTGTATTTTGTTAATTTGTATGAATTATCAAGTCATTCAGTGTATTGTATTTTGTAAATTTGTATGAATTATCAAGTCATTCAGTGTATTGTATTTTGTAAATTTGTATGAATTATCAAGTCATTCAGTGTATTGTATTTTGTAAATTTGTATGAATTATCAAGTCATTCAGTGTATTGTATTTTGTAAATTTGTATGAATTATCAAGTCATTCAGTGTATTGTATTTTGTAAATTTGTATGAATTATCAAGTCATTCAGTGTATTGTATTTTGTAAATTTGTATGAATTATCAAGTCATTCATTGCGTTGTGTTATTTCAATTTGTATGAATCATCAATATGTCGTTATTACTTCTCGTATATCTAAAATATATTCAAATTCATATTGAACTTATCTTCATCACAGAAACCAACATATATATTTAACAATGATAACTTGATTAATTATATACTAATTATAACATAGCCAACATTGAAACCATTTACAATAGTTTCGTTAAGGCTAACTATTATAATTGTACTTCACATATATCCCAGAAGGTAATTTATTTAGAAAAATGTAACAATAGTTGCGTTCATATCTATTAAACGACAAGGGCCTTTTTCTATTACGACAAAAGAAAATGCATTAAACATCAGAAGCTCTCGGATCTGCGGGCTCGAGGTTTAAATGCATCCTTGTGCTTCTGCAGATATTAATGCGCCAAAAATGGCGCATTGACTTAATATAAGTTGTTGTTATCTGGTCTGGTTTTAAGTTGGATCAACATTAAAAAGGTCATATTGCGACTTTCCATTTGACAAGCGGAGGAAGACTTCAGGTGTCCCTGTGTACTGTTTGAACAGGCACGAGCGGTTACCCGAGTAAAAACGCCGACTTTCTGTAAACTAGCTGGATGTTTTTCCCACATGAAAAAAATCCAAAGTCCCTGGTTGGACTCGAACCGATAGCGACGAGGAACAAGTGGTTTGAATTTGTTAAATGAAATGCTTTAAACGTATCTAAATAAATTCTATAATCTTTGATTTTTTTTCTTTCTTGTCGTTCTATCCCGTTTGTCTTTCTTTCGTGCCTCCTATATCGAAATTGGAAGCGACGTAACCATGTGGATAGCCCACTATTGATTCTATGTTAGGAACAACAAATTTACTTTGTCTTCTTCATAAACCGCATCCACTTCTATCTTGTCAAAGTTTGTTAATAGTTTAATTTTGTACCAGTTGGTTTATAGTTCAATGTAGTATAACTAGTTTACTGATGAAATCTGCAAAGTTATTTTTTATTGGCCATATTTGGAGATTGAAAAATTTTCTCTGATACTCGGTGCAAATAAGTATGTAAGAAAACAGAATATAGTGTTTCTTAACAAAATATTAATCCGTTTTTTCTTAATACATTTTGTGTTAATTTTTGCATGTGCGCAAATCGGTTCATCCATCGTAAAATTCACAAGCATCATTCTTTCCATTCAGATACTTTGGTAAGATTTTTACTGAGATGCAACTGCGACCACTTACTTGGAGTTTTAGCTTTTGACAATTCAAAGTCAGTGTAGATAAGAAAAAGCAGTCTATTTGATTGTCTTTGGTTTATAGAGTTTACGCATAATGACATCTACAAAGTTAGTTGTTGGTGCTATAGACTTTGGGACAACCTATTCAGGATATGCATTCTCCTTTGCACATGACTATGAAAAAGACCCAATGAAAATACAAGCAAACCATTGGATTGGTGGAGGTCACATGTCACTCAACACTTACACTTATAAAATCAAGGAAAATATCCAATATATTTAATAAAATCAATTATAATATTAATAAATATATGTATAAATGAGATATTTTTTTTACATTCTACATTGAATAAGTTGCGCGAGGATGCGATATAAAATCTCTGTGGTTTAAAGACAATACCTTATGGCAATAACGTCAAGAAAACATTATCATTGAACATTTTGAAAATTGAACTCATGCGTTATCAAAGCTCTTTAAAAATCTTTTGAATGCTATTCCAGGCCCCGACAACAATTCTTTTCACACCTGGAAAGGTTTTCCATTCATTTGGCTATCAAGCAGAAGATAAATACGCTGATCTTGCTGAAGAAGATATTCATAAAGATTGGTACTACTTTAGAAGATTTAAAATGATTCTACATCAAAAAAGGTAATCTTAAATAATTAACTAAACGCTTCTTTATTAATCTAATTTGAATACCAGTTGTTATTTTTAAACTTTATTTGAAAACATATAAGAAAAACAACAAATTAAAATATTGGAAAAATCATTGAATTTTGTTTTCATGTCAAGTTGAAGGAATCTGTTTAAATGCCATGGCATTAATCATTAAGGTAAAAACTTAAAAAACATAAATTGTGTTTGTAATTTTACTAAACTCAGACCTTGTCCAGAAAGACATTGTTGTATGACGAAAGCAAGAAGGCATTATCAGCTTTACACGTGTTCTCGTCTGCGATACAATTTCTGAAAGACCATCTCTGCAATGAAATCTCTAAGAAAATGACAGAATTTGAAGAGCGGGATATATTTTGGGTGTTAACTGTACCTGCAATATGGACAGATGCAGCCAAAAAATTTATGAGGGAAGCTGCATTGGAGGTATATATCTTTACACGTCGATACTGACATGTCTTAGAAAAGTACGGGCTTGTAGATTGTCAATACATGTCATTTAAAATGGTGCTCATTTTATTTGTATTATCTCTTAAATCCATTTATAAATTGTTTTTGTAATTGATTTAACTGTATAAGTTGAATCGGTTACCTTATGATAACTGCTTATGCGTTATCATTATTGTATGTAGTTGGTGCCGGAAAGTAACAATTTATAGATTTACCTCAAAAATGAAAACAATAAAATGTCCGTCAATCATGACGAATAAATTGTAGAGTTTTCCTTCATTTCAGGCTGGTATACAGTCAGATTGTTTGTCTTTAGCACTTGAACCTGAAGCAGCCTCCATGCTTTGCAAGCTCCTCCCGGTTGACTGCCTGAAACATAACAATTCGATATCTATTGAGGCTTTTAAAGCAGGAACAAGTTACATTGTCCTTGACCTTGGTGGTAAGTTACTAAGACATATATTTGTTAAATACGTCATGCGTCGAATACACATACTCATTTTAAAGTAAGAAGGAAAGGAAAAGATTAATAGGCAAATCTCTACTAGTATGTGACACATTATTATTCAATAATAATAATAATAATAATGATGATGATGATATGATGATGATGATGATAATAAAAAAAATAATAATAGTAATAATAATAATAATAATAATAATAATAATAATAATAATAATAATAGTAATGAAAGCAATGAAACAACAACAACAGCAGCAGCAGCAGCAGTAGCAGCAGCAGCAGTAGCAGTAGCAGCAGCAGCAGCAGCAGCAGCAGCAGCAGCAGCAGCAGCAGCAGCAGCAGCAGCAGCAGCAGGAACAACAACAACAACAACAATAATAATGACAATAATTTATAATGAAAATAATAGTTATAATAATAATAATAATTATTATTATTATTTTGATATTGATAATAATATTATGATAATAATTATACAATTATAAAAATGAAAATAATAATAAAACTTTAAGAAGGAATCTTTTTTCAGGTGGCACTGTTGATGTGACTGTTCATCACCTAGAGTATGATGGAAAACTTAGTGAGATCGCTTGTGCAAGTGGCGGTTCATGGGGTGGTACTCAAGTTGATGAAGCATATTTAAGATTTCTCCAAAATGTTGTTTGGCAATGAAGTCTTTCAGGCATTCAGAGAAAACAACACAGGCCGATTTCCTTGAAATGCTGAGACAGAATTTGAAAATAAAAAAGAGAACTATAAAATAAAAGAAAGAAGGCAACATAGTTATCAGGTTTTTGCAGCTTCGCTTTCCCGAAACATACAAAGAAAAATTGCAGTAAATCTCTTGCTAATCACATATTGGCCAGGTACATCTAGGATCATCTGTCCAAAATAAAGCGGGATAAAATGCATGTTTATGCAAACACAATGAAGAAATTCTTTTCAGATTCGATCACAAATACAAGCAAACATGTTAGGGGAAATTTTGGAAGAGAATGAATTCAAAGAAATTGATACGTTATTGCTTGTTGGGGGATTTGCTGAATCGGAATAGTTCAGGAGAGCGTGAAAGAAGCATTTCCAAACAAAAGAATCATCGTACCTAGCGAACCTGGCTTAGCCGTTTTAAAAGGGGCAGTATTGTTTGGCCATAACATGATTATGAAATCGAGAAGTAAGTACATACACTTATGGTATAGAGATCATTGAAAAATTTGTGAAAGGAAGAAGCCCAGAAAAATACATATATATAAATAAGTTTTTGAAAACGGCAAGTATAATTGTAGGTATAACTTTTGTCAATTTGTTCGAGCTGGTGATGTGGTTCCAGTTGGTAAAATCGTCAGAAAACACTTGCATTCAGATACCTTTGATGTGAAAGAAGGGCTTGGAATATATGCATCTTCAGAAAAATATCCAAAGTATGTTGTTGATGACAGCTGTTTTTCGAATTGGGGACTCTAGCAACTTTTGATAAAAGATCAACCGTACATGCTTGAAATGCATTTTGGAGAGGCAGAAATCAGTCTGAAATTTATCTTTGAATCAGGTGTAAATAAAACAAAGGAATTGGATTTCTTGTGTACGTAGGGACATGACAACTGCATGCTGCCGCATGAAATGGTATTTTATATTTGAACAGTGATAAATGTGACACTCATATCATGAATATTTTTTGTTGAACATCTTTCAAAATATCATTTGAGAAAAAAAAAAAACAAAAAAAAACCGTAACACAATCTAACATCATATATAACACAAATGTGAGCAGGTCTGGACCTAGGTAAGATGAGTTGCAAGGCTGAAGAAGTGTCTTACTTTGAAGTCTTAACATATCCACCTTAATTAGCCAGTTTATTGCATGCCATTTTATCGTCACTGAATAATAGGTACTGTGCATCTGCACGACAAATTATCGTATTGTCCATTTCGTACACACACATACTTTGAAAGGTCGCTATTAATAACTAAATGTTTTTTATCTTTGCAATGACTTGTAATTGTTAGATTATGTTATGCTTCCTATCGTTTTGAACATAGTTTATCTGATTTGATGTTGTTAATGTATTAAATATATTCTATCTTACTTTATTTGATATCATGTTTGGAGCTCTGTAAAATCAAGTACATTTTAGAATGTATACGTTACTTAAAAACTTAATTGAATAACAGCAAAGGAAATAAATGGTTATATGTTCGTTTCTTTTATTAATATATTTGAAAAAATATATTTGTGTTTTCCTTTTTCTACTTTCGCACTATAGTGTCACCCATTTACAGAATTGAAAGAACAACAGCAGTCTTTCTTTGATTTTCATGTATATTTACCTTGTTAAATGGTGAATCCAGTATTCCTTTTGGAATACTGTGTAGTCACTATTACGATGTTTGCCTGCTTATTAAATTTGTCTTTTGATGCCTGCCTATGATACATAGGCTTCATAACCTCTGATCCTGTTTTATTTTTCAATTTCGTTCATTTTAACTCTTTTTCTTCTTCTTAAGACAAATGGATTCTTCTACTTATGAATCATGTATAGCTTTTTATTGAATAAAAAAGTGTAACATTGAAGGCTGTATAAATATATCTTCACTTATAACTTAACTAGAACTATTACTAAATGTGATTAATACCCCCGCAAGACTGTTTCAGAAATGAGGAAGTTACTTGAAACAGAATACCTTGCAAAAGAACTGAAATAGAATTATGGTTGTGTGCAATTTAAGATAGTTGTGGTTCTTGAATGTTGCATTTTCTTTCAATGTGGTTGACCATTGATGAAGTTTTATCGAACTACTCTGTAATAAGTCCAAAAAGAGTTACGCTTCTTAAGCACTGCACTTCCTCTCATTGCGCTTGACCATTGAATGAAGCTTCATTGAATTCTAAGCATAAGGTTTTAAAGTTATGCACCTGACATGGAAAAGGAACAAAGGGCAATAACTCTACAAACACTGAAGATGGAGTTATGGTTATTGTACACTTCACTTCCTCTCATTGAACTTGACAATTATATGAAGTTGTATTGAATTCCAACTACTAGTTTTCAAGTTATGCACTGGACAAACAAGGTAACAAAGGACAATAACTGTAATAAGTCCAAATAGAGTTATGGTTCTTATGCACTGCACTTATCTTACTGCCCTTGACCATTGTATGAAGTCTCTTTGAATTCCAACCATTAATTTTCAAGTTATGCACTGGAAAATTAAAAGTAACAAAGGGCAAAAACTTTAATATGTGTCAAGAAAGAGTAATGGTTTCTGTTCTGTGCACTGCGCTTCCTCTCAATATACTTGACCATTGTATGAAATTGTATTGAATTCTAACCAGTAGTTTTCCAAGTTATGCTCTGGACAAGAAAAAAGCAATGAAAAGTAACAAAGGGCAATAACTCTATAATTACTCTAGACAGAGTGACGGTTCTTGTGCACTGCACTTTCTCTTATTGAGCTTGACCATTGTATGAAGTTGTATTGAATTCCAACCAGTACTTTACAAGTTATGCTCCGGACAAGGAAAAGTATCAAAGGGCAATTACTCTGTAATTTGCCAAAATGGAGTTATGGTTCTTGTGCACTGCACTTCCTCTCAATGTCCTTGAGTATTGTATGAAGCTGTATTAAATTCCAACCATTAGTCTTCAAGTTATGCTCCGGACAAAAAACAGCAATGGGAAAGTAATAAAGGGCAATATTTCTGTATTTAATTTAGATAGAGTTATGGTTCTTGTGCACTGCACTTCCTCTCAATGTGCTTGACCATTGTATGAAGTTATATTGAATTCCAAAAATAAGTCTTCAAGTTATGGTCCGGACAAAAGAAAGAAATGGAAAAGTAACAAAGGGCAATAACTCTGTAATTTCTTTAGATAGAGTTATTGTTCTTATGCATTGCACTTTCCCTTATTGTGCTTGACCATTGTGTGAAGTTGTTTTGAAATCTCACTAGTATTTTTCAAGTTATGCTCCGGACAAGGAAAAATAACAAAGGGCAATAACTCTGTAATTAGTAAAGATAGAGTTATGGTTCTTATGCACTGCACTTCCTCTCAATGTGCTTGACCATTGTATGAAGTTATATTGAATTCCAACAATAAGTCTTCAAGTTATGGTCCGGACAAAAGAAACAAAATGGAAAAGTAACAAAGGGCAAAAACTCTGTAATTTCTTTAGATAGAGTTATTGTTCTTATGCATTGCACTTTCCCTTATTGTGCTTGACCATTGTGTGAAGTTGTTTTGAAATCCAACCAGTAGTTTTCAAGTTATGCTCCGGACAAGGAAAATAACAAAGGGCAATAACTCTGTAATTAGTAAAGATAGAAATATGGTTCTTGTGCACTGCACTTCCTCTCAATGTGCTTGACCATTGTATGAAGTTGTATTGAATTCCAACTATTAGTCTTCAAGTTATGCTCCGGACAAGGAAAATACAACGGACGGCTGGACCGACCGACCGACCGACCAGCCGACCACCTAGTGACTCCTATATACCCCCCAAACTTCGTTTCGGGGGTATAATAATGAAGCTCACCTTTTCACTTTTCACAATCTTTACAAATAAATATGCCGTATCTAGGGGTCACAGACAGAAGTTTGCACTTACCACTTACTTCTGAAATTTTGCCTGAAATTTCACTGGGAGTATTTTTATTTTCGAGTCATGTCTAAATCCTGCTGTCTTCTAAATTTGCCATACACCATTATGTTTTTTTCTAATAATACAGAATCAAGACGAATGTAAAGATAATGCAATATATTGGTAATTCGAAGTATATTGTGAGTTCTATGGAGAGAATTAAATAAGACTTATATAAAACTGTAATCGATGTCAAATGAATATGGCCATTATCTTAGGACTGCAAAGTAATCTGCGAGATAGAAGCATAAGATGATCATAAGTGATATCTGTCATGAACAAACTCAGTTCAACATGGACTGCCGATTCCATCATTAGTTTAAATAATTCCATCAAACTGAAAACTTCATAATAAATTTAATTGCGTAGATAATGTGGCGCTTAACCAGACAAAATAGGTCAATTATTAAAAATGATACAATGTTTTAGTACAATCAAGAAATGTCGTAAAGCATTTACATGTAGAAGCCAGAAACGATTTTTGAATGGAAAATTTTCTATAAAAGGCTTCCAAAATGCAAAATGATTTAAAGCTTTGGTGTTGATGTTTGCACTTCTTATGTTACTTTTTTGTTCTTGTGTGCTTCGGTTAGTGGCTATATTTGTTTATTGAAACAATGACATCAATTTGTTCATAGTTAAATACACCTAACTCAAATAACATTAAATGATTTCCATGTCTATAAAGTTTTATTTCCTAACCTTAATAAATCACCGCTCGTATTTTGTTTTTTGAAAAATGTCCCCGTTAGGTCAATGGGTAAACGTTTTGACATCATTTAAAGCACCATTTACATGTAATAAAGGTTATTATCTATCAATATTCTATTGCCAATTATATTACAAAAATGTCGATAGTGATATCATGACGGAATTAGGATGACTTTCAAAACAAGTCACAATAAACTTGATTGCATTTGGTTGATGAATCAAACGATGCAACAAAAAGCCTTGTGTATGGTAAAACAAGACCGTAGGATTACATGTATGTATGTAAATAAAAACATAAAATACACTCAAACGTTTAGATTTAACATTCTTAACCCTGTCCCCTGCTGAGAATGAAACATAGAAATCTAAACTATAAAGGCAAGTATGTTGCGGCATATTTCTAGAACGTCGACTTTATCAAGTCCATGTAACAAAAAAATGTAAAATACAGAAAGTTGCGTTAGTATTATAGAACTGTAAATATTATTTTGCCTCCCTTGTTATTAGAACAAAACGAGAAGACAACACGATTTAAGTCACCAAACATTTTATATTGACGTTTCTGTCATGAATTTGATTATCTTCCATCATGTTGTAGCAACTAATGGACGTGTGTTAAAGGATTTAGTTTTAAAAATGACGAAATAATTATTAATACACCGTATCCGTTACACATATGATTATATCTTGCGATACCTTAGCAGCATTTACTTCTTATTTAACTGAAGGGTTATAATTAAGGTAATACATAATCACACACAGTCATATAAAGTTTATATAGTTTCATTATGGCACACATTCTATTGAACAAGATATGTCTAGAAAAAACATAATTTCCGTTAATACAGAACATGCTAAATGTCTTTAATGTCTTTTCTTTTCTCTATATTCAGAATGTTATCAAGCCCTATAATGAAATGAATCAATTACTGATGGCAATGATTAATGCACGGCCTTGTTTTGTTAAGGTGAAATGTGCTTCAAGGTATCGTAAAAATTTACACTTTATCATTTCTTATGCTAAAATACAAATTTTATGGCCTGATGATAAGTCTGGCTAAAATATTTGGTTTAAGTGAAGTTGTCACTTGCTGATAAGATGAGGGAACGAAAGGGAAAAATGTCAATAAATTTATTATTCTACCCCACATCATTGAAAAGGTTCACTATCATTCACAATCAACAAAAGCCACGATTGCTGCTGAGCGAGGTAGTGTAAAAACACATCTGCTTTCTGTGATAGCAAAAATTATACAAGTTTGCCACAAAGATACAGTGGTTGGAAAAAAGGTACTTATTAGCACATTAATTCATTCATATTAAATTGTAGAGATTTACAGTAAATGATTTTGTGACTATTTAAACAGGGTAACTTCTGAAAACAAAACAGTTATTACTCAGTATTATTTCGCCATTATAAGCTCACCAAAAGACTGCAAGTTATATTTAAAACAATAATCTACGTGACATTGTAAACTGTTAAGCAATAATTACCATATCAAAAATACAAGCATACAATAAAATATTCCAAATGGTATTGATACATGTTAAAGTAACTTTAATTCCGACTATACGTATTTTAGTTACAATTCTATATCTTCGGTCCAAACATTAAATATTAGCCCTAATTGTTCAAAACCAGAAAGCCGAAAGCGAGTGTTTTTTAAAGTTCTTAGTTTGATATGATCTATGCATTACATGTAAATAAACCCATTTGAAGCCTCAAAATATGTCTATGCATCCAAGATTAGATATGCTAACTGTTGATAATATACATAAAATTGATGAGACAAAGGTAATGTTCAAAGGTTTGCTGAAACAAAGAAAGGGAGTAGAGAAAGAAAAATGAGTGTAACAAGAGTGCAGCTATGTAATAAGACGGACATTCCTGAATACGTTGGATCTTGTAACACCGCTCTTTCCGGTCTAACGCACTTTGAGATTTAACCCGAAAGTGCTGTAAACTTTAGAACGCACATTGCGGTCATAAATCGAAAAGTAAGCCAAAAAGTGCCTTAATATGCCTAATATTAATGCACGTTTGGTTTTCAAATTTTTGAAGCTGTCAAATGAATTATGTGCTTGAGAACTGAGTCTTTTCCGATATAAGATGACCTTCGACATTTTGAAACATAACATTTCTGTGCAATGAAATCATCTTTCTTAGGGCCATTTAAATTCTGACGTAAATTTTATTTAAACAAAATGTGTTGCTTATTAAAGTTAAGAGAAAAATGTTTAATTGAAATTTACCACGCTAAATATCACGAAAATTGTGACTAAAAATCTTTTTGAATTGAAAACAAAATACTTGAAATAGCAGAATCTTCAAAGAGAGAGAGTGATAGTGATCTGTATATCATTTAATTTTGGTGTCATAATTAACCCCTAATTACATATGATGGGGATGTAATAAAATGCAGTAAAATATCATCACATGGTATCTTATTTTCAAACAATACAATTTCTGTTTATATATTAATAAATGACTTGTTACAAGTAAATTAGAAACAGCACTTGTCAGAGGATTACAGCTATAAATTCCTTTCTAATTGTTTCCATAATTTTCGATATTCCTTAATATTTGAATCACATGATATTGCTCATAAACACGTATACAATGTCGAAAATGAACAAAAATGTTAGACAAAAAATAGTTAACTTTATGAAACAATTTACTCTATCAGTAAGTGCCAGTAAGTAAATGTACACTTTAAATGTTAATGAGTTTTTTTAAGTTTGTCAGGTTTCAGCCATGCTATTTAATGAAAGTAACTGCAGGGTACTTTTAGTAAATATACAGTATTCTTACACAGAAGCTATATGTCTGCAATGACTTATTTTCAATTTGTGGCAATCTCGGACGCCATTATGGGACGAGTGAAGTTCTATTTAAAAATTAATTAACAACACGAGACATTTCATATTCTGAATCTTATCCATTATTATGGTCATTTATTGATTATTGTAAGGCTTTACAAAATGATTCTTTTTCATGTATCACTGGAAATGTTGCCATATTAAAATGACAGCCTTTGCAGAAAAGAGATGAATTTTGTATTTTCAAAAGATTACCTTATACAAAAAATGTACGTATTTAGAAATAATTCCTGCCAAATAATGGACATGATTTCCATCTAAATATGCGCTTATAATCTCCTATAATTCGGCACAATCTTTGAAGCCATATCAAATGTATTAAATAGACATATTAAATTTTATACAGAGATAATGCAAGTCGTTTTACAATATTCAACAGAGAAAATCAATATAGAAATATTACATCCCCCTCCTTGGATAAGCCTAAAACTAAGTAAATTCTTGATTTTAATGAGTCTTCAACCAGATAGGGGACTATTGTATAAAGGTTCGGAATTTAATCAGATTGAAATATATGTGTCACGGGACCATTACTACTAACGGAGCACAACGCTAGTTCATGGGCAAAGCTCAATAACTATGTTATTTGATGTACCATTTATCTCAACACGCATCAAATTCATATTTCTTCAAGGTATATGAATCATATTAATGAAGGTAAAAAGATAATTAATTGCAATTGTACCCTTTACATATACATTAAAGATAAGCTATCGTCTGCTATTGCTGATCGACTTAATACATTATTAAGTCGATCAGCAAAAGCAGACGATAGTTTATCTTCGCCTAGTTCATTCATTATTTTTAATTAATCATTTGCATTAACAACAAGATACAAGGTTTAAAATTAATTTCTTACACATTTTCACTGAAAAGGTTTCTCCCAGATATCGCGACTACAATGTTAACTTCGGTATGTACACTGCTTATTTAAAGTAAAGTGACTGTACTGATTTGATTTGACTTGGGTTATCGTTGTACCAACACAGTATAGGTCATATGGCGACGTTCCAGCTTTACTGGAGAGGGACGATCTCATGTGCCCTTCCGTGCATTATTTCAGGTATTAGTTTACACGCTTTCAATTCAAGTCAGGCGATAACTATTTTTTGGTTTGAAGGTATGTAAAATTTCGTTCTTTAAATCAGTGGAGTTCGATCAATACAATAACTGATATATTTTGATAGTGTTGATTGATATGCACATAGTTATTAAAATGATACCTATGCAGAATAAAATGATACCTGTACAACAAATGAAATTAAGGGAGTAACATTTTAGTATACATCGTAAATCTAATGTTTTAAAACTGATGACAACTCTTAGTTAGATACATACTTTTAAAAGAAGTTTAATGATTTTAATGTTTCTTTAATTTTTCAAAGACAAACTTGTATTCCGTTTTAAACTATTTATCCAGTGTAAGAATTGTGACGACAACAATTGAACATTGTAATAGAATTCCTGCATATGCTCTATTGCCCGTGTTAATAGATTCTGACTGACCATCAAGTTTGTAAATTGTAAGGGTTTCAGTTTGTTGAGGTTCTTCCTTTACTTTAAAGTTATAGTTGGACTTAATTAATACTTCATTTTCAGCTTCAATTGCTGAGAAGTCTTTAGCCAATAATCCATACACATTTGATATCTCAAAAAGAATTCCCTTTTGGCATTCGTTGTCAGAAAACATTTCAGCCAATTCTCGAAGTAAAGTGGTACTTGTAATCTGATTGAATTTAAAATCATTTCCTTGTATAGGATAATCCTTCATAGCTGTACATCCCCTGTAAACAATTTTATGCTCCGTAAGTCCGAGAATGTCAATACCTCTGTTAATCAGATCACCAGATCGTCTCCAGATATCAGTCTCTGTGGGGTAGTTGTTGCGCATTTGTAAGTTTAATGTAACGTAGAAAAGACTTTCTTGTGTGTATAAGTTGACGAGTCCTATTGCATACTTTTTATCCATGGTTTCATTAGAGAAGTGCAACATTTTTTGTTGTGCTGTTTGGACGTTTGATCTAAAGTATTCGAGATCTTGAAACAATTTTTTAACCTCACCAGAATACCCGTCATCTTCCGTATCTATCAATTTAAAAGCAATACAAGTTTTGATTTTGATAACTTCAGTTAGAAACAGGCTCCCGAAATACAACAATAAAGTAAAAAAGTAAATGTAAATAACTATTTCCTTTCGAGAAAAGTGTCGATAATCAAAAATGTCATCGCTTAAAATGTTTTGTTTACATATCCTCAGCTCATGCGAACCTTAAAAAAAATCATATTTTACCATTTTCAATCTGCCTTGTAATGTTATGAATGCGTCAGTGCATAGTGATTCTCAATTCTATCAGATTTTACATTTTAAATACAAATGCAAAGAACAACAATCTGTCATGAACGTAGCAGTAGGGACGTTAAATGTCTTAATACATTTTTGACACACATACTGCCTTAATAACGTTTCTATTTTGAGAAAATATAAACATGATAGTTTAACCTCTCATTTTATTTTCGTATCCAAAAAGGAAAAGAAAAATAAATAAATAAAAAAGAATGATATTGACATCGACTGCCTATAATGACATTACTGTCCAAGTATAAAGAGATGCATTGGTATCAACAATCACTTAATAAATGACATGAGGGTTCTTCTTTAAAGTTAGCAACGTCTTAAATATTCTTGTTTTTGAAAGATAAATCTAATTTCTTCGGAACTTTTAATTTGCTTCAAAGATGTATAATAGATTCAACCAATGCCATTGTTTTATCTATCTACATAATTATATATAAGTACATGTACTATAATTCATAATATTAAGTAGATTTAAGACAACAGTATACATATTGTACTGAAATGGATGAACATTTTATACAGGGATAATACGTAAGCGCATCGCTATGTTACAATAGCATATACACATTGAATTGTATACGATACAGATCGGGAGTAAAGTAAGGAAATTTAGTTTACACTCATATATTTCGCCATCATTATCTAAAAGACTAAAATTTATGTTTAAAACAATTATCGTCTTATAATTATTGTCAATACTTTTGCAGTGATTACCAAATAAAAAAAACGAGAATTAGAATTTAAAATTGTTTTAATTGATGTAAGTGACTTCGATTCAGACTATACATATTACAATACTTTTATTGAAAGTACAAACAAACTGTATCAATGAAAAATAAAAATATTAAATCCATTTGCCATAAATACATACCACATTGTACGAATCCTAAGAAACAGCCAATGATAAAGAAGGCAATGCACATCATTTTCCACATATAGTAACCTTCCTTTTAACACGTTACTTATGTCTGTGGAATCTGTAAACGACTGATTGCCTTTATCGTTAAATGAGAATATATTCTAAGATAAGTATTTCCCCCGTATTTAAACTGTGGTATCTGATAAAGCTTTTTTAAATCAAAAATGCAAATTGTACACAATGAACTAAAACTTGCGCAACTACTCTTTTGTTCGCGACAGGCCAACCTTTTCTGATAGACCTTTTTTAAAATAAAGATTATATATCCATTATGAGTTTTTTTTGGAGTTTCTTTTGCACGCCTTGTCAGACAGCCCCGATCATATTATAAGAGTAAAAAGATAGAAATACCTACATGCATAAGACAGAAAATATAAACGGTTATAAAATAAAACAAAAATTATTTTTGTAAAATGATTAAATGAATATTATAATATTCCTTTTATGAAAACTTTGAGATACGTTATTATTCTTTGATTATACCAAGTACTTTTCCAGTGTCCCTATATATTATCATTCAATAAAAAATAATTGATACTCCATCAATGTTAAAACACATTTTAGATAAATTAAATAGCGTCATTTCTTAAGAATTCAAATCGACATTAGAAAACGTTGAACTTCATGGTATGATAAAAGTAGACATTTAAAGTGTACAGTCTACAGACATATAATAAAGAAATAAAATTTAATTTATCTAAACTTGAAGCATGATCTTAAAAGATGGTAACAGGCGAATATAATAGGGATGACCGTGCTCGTTTCAGCTCGTGCATACCTTAAGCCTCGGTCTCACTTACTCCCGGCAGAGCCCAGGACCATCCCGGTAAGTTACCGGGATGATCCGGGACGATCCGGGATGAAATTATTGTTGCGGTCACACTTACCCCGGCAGCACTACGGTAGTTCCCTACTAACCACCCAGGATGCGCTCCGGATCATTCAGGCAGAGCCCAGGTGAAGCTACGGTTCATGCCGGTGCTTCCCCGGTCGTTCCCGGATGACGCCGGAAGAGCCCCGGTTGACCCAGGCAGAGCCCCGGTCGATCCAGGCAGAGCCCCGGCAGAGCCCAGGACGATCCAGGTAGAGCCCCGGTAGAACCCCGGTGGATTGAAAACGCCCGAAAATGATAACTTTGATACATAATTTTTATTTAATATAATATCTATTGTTTCAGAATAGTAATTCATGATGATTTTCTGAAAAATCCTTATGCCATACTGGATAGAAGGGAAATGGGAAGGCTTTTAATACAAACAAGTTCAACCATCGCAAATTGTCCTTATTCTTTTGAAATGATCCGGGCTTTGCCGGGGCTCTACCGGGGCTCTACCGGGATCAACCGTAGCTCTACCTTTATCCTCCGGGGCTCTGTCTGTAGTTACCGGGGCTCTGCCGGCATATACCGGGGCTCTACCGTAGCTCTACCGTAGCTCTACCGGCTATAGCATACCCCGGATCATCCCCGGTTTGTGCCGGCAGAGCTACGGTGCTTTCCCGGTATAACCCCGGTCGTTCCCGGCAGAGCTAAGGATGAAGCCGGCAAAGCTATACCTTCCCGGATCATCCCGGACCACCCCGGTGATATTAAATATTTTATTCCATCCGGGGTCGAATGCCGGATGTTCCCGGATCATCCCGGATCATCCAGGACGTTGCCGGCAGAGTTACGGATGTACCCCGGTTGTTCCCGGTCGTACCCCGGTCGTTCCCGGATCACCCCGGACGTCTACCGGGACTCTGCCGGGGCTCTGCCGGGATGTAAGTGAGACTGTAGCTTTAAATAATTTACATCCTGCCTTGTAAGGTTATGAATGCGTCAGGTGTAAATTGACTCCTATTCTAGGTAGCGAAGTCCAACAATTCAATCAGATTTTACATTACAAAAGATTCAAAAGAACAACCTTCTGTTATGAACATAGTGATTGGTCACAAAATATCCGGTAGACATGCATATACTTAGGAAGTATAATGTCTTATTGTTTCTTTCGCAAATCTATCGCGTTAAAGACATTTCTATTTTGAGAAAATACAAATGGTAGTTAACATCTCAATTTTTGTATCAAAATAGGCACATAATAAATTAATTAATTAAAGAATGATATTGACTTTTTTGTCAAAATATTCGCCAATTTATGATAGTTTTTTGTCATTTTCGGCAGTTTTTCAAAACTTTATCTTTAAGCGACAATCACTGAATTAATGATATACGGGTTCCTCTTTAATGTTAGCAACAACTTAATTCTTTTTGAATTCAAAATGATAAAAATAGTTCCTACAAGACGTTTAACCTTCTTGGAAGATGTATAATATATCCTTCCTTTGCCGAAATAAATCTATCTAACCAACGACACTCTATTTATCTTTATACATAATTACATAACAGTACTATTCAATAGACTTAGATGTAAGACAATAATGTAAAACTTCCCTTTGTACCGAAATGGATTATAATTTTATACAGGTATTATACATAAGCCCACCGCTACAATGTAAATGTTAAACTTAAAACTTGAATTTTTCATCTGTATCTGTATCTGTAAAAAACCTTATTCTTAACTTTAGTTCAAAAGCTTTTGTTTGTTCAAAAGATTTTATAAAACTATCAATTAAACATCTACAATTTTCTGTTATTCAGACCTAAATACATTTTTTGATTTCGTTGCGGTCCTCGGGAATGACAGAAAACTACTTACTTAAAAATTTGATTTAACCTTTAAAAGGAGACATAGGGAAAATTTACATTTCTTAGTTTTGAATTTTTCATTTATTATTCTGTAAATGCCCTCAAAATGAATACATTAGCCAGGCAAAAGAACAAAACTTTTCTCCATATAAAGAATAAAATGGTCGTTTCATAACTTGACACGCGTAGGTCAGGTTACAGTGCTTGGATTTCAAAATTGTTGTCACATTGAACTCTGAAAAAGTAAAAGAACATGCCAAATGAGTGACATAGACTCGTTTCAATTATACAATATCCACACAATCTGTTATTGTAACTTCAAGGGTAAATTCAAGTCACATGACTTGTTTTAAAACTATTAGGTGATTCTATTGGCGGCTAAATTTTGTTCAACATATATAGACAGATTTACGCTTCAAACCGAAAATATACAGAATTTAACAGTCATTCATGCTGGAACGTTAAGAAACGTCATTTTAGGCGTGTTTTAAGTGCATAAGATCATTTTAATTTTTTGTCATTATTTTGCCTGAATATCCATAGCAACCATAATTTCTTTACTAAATTACTAAACGCAATACATAAATGTGATATACTAACAAACGAAACTCAAAATGAAGCAACTACATGACTGTATAAAAATTTTGTATTTAGAATTGAAACGTTTCAATACAATTCAAATGTGTCTGATTTGTGCACTCGAATCTTTCCAGTTCGAAATTACCCACATAGGGGAAGTCTCGTATATCGATTTATTACTTTTAAATTTGTTTTGTTTAACAATTTTAAAGCGTAAAAGGCTACATGTCTGATGTCTGTAGTCTTCAAAATAATTCCTTTAATTTTGAAAAAGAATACTTCGAAAATACCTTTCTGAAATAAGTACTTGTATGTAACTTAACGTGCGAATTGCGCATACACGAACTCATTGCTAAATTATTATTTGTTTTTGTTCCGGGACATAGCATTCATTTTATATACAATATTAATGCGTGTTAGTCTATAATTTACTTCCTCCTGTAATTTTTAGACGGAAGATTTAAGACAAGGATATTTCCAGGATAAAACAAGACAGGTACTACAAAAAATATCTATTTTTTTTTTCATTTTATTTTAAGTATAATATAAGAGGACACTTTAAATCGGTAAATCGTGTGAAGCTTTGTTGATATTATACTTGATTTATTATGACGTTATACAAACTGTATACATGTAAGTTAAACAACAAAGAATAACAGAATGAATTAAGAACGTTTTTTTTCAGTACGCTTAAGATATCTACGAGCATCATGTGTGCAAATTTATGCCCTCTTATTACTCTAAGGGCAATTCCTCAAAACAAATGTTTTAGTCAATACTTGTGTAAAATTTGGATGCATTTCTACATAGCTGGTTACTTCTTCTATCAGAAATGCCCCTTTATGATTTTGAAATTCTTGGTTGAAGTTAATGTTTTGTTTTGTTCAGGAACACGTCTCATAACGTACCAAAGATATTCATTTAAACTTGTACTTGTACTTGTTCAGCATGAAACCTGTTTCTGTTAAAGAAGAGGGGTAAAATAAGTAACCAGGTGTTCGAGTTAGATATCTAGTACCTTATCTTAAAGTGAATCTAAGAATATAAACTATTTAGTCTAATAAAGTTATTGAAGATAGTTGAAGTAGAACGTTTTCAAATATTGATGAAAGAAAACGATTACCAGATTAATTCGGTGAGTACTGACGGGTGACAATGCAACATCTGAACGCCACAAATGAAAGGTGATCTAAATGTAAGAGAATTCTTGGGTGCTTTAACTTCATGCCTTGTTTTATGTTTGTGTTGTTGTTTCTGTGAAGTCTTCATTATCATATAACAACACGTGTTTAATCCCTATGTGTATTGGACAGGAGACATACCTAATAAAATGACATCGGCAAAGTTAGTTGTTGGTGCTATAGACTTTGGGACAACATATTCAGGATATGCATTCTCCTTCACAGATGACTATGCTAAAGACCCAATGAAAATACAAGCAAACTGTTGGATTGGTGGAGGACACATGTCACTCAAGGTAATCATCACATTACTACAATTATTATGATTAACGAACACAAAATGTATTAATATCTACACTATCTATGTATTATATATAAACACCCGTGATTTTATTGGAGTTATTAGATATGCACAGCAATTCTGACTATCAAACAATAAAGGTACACGTCATTATAAGGCAATGTGACGGAAATGATATTATTGTAAAATTACAATTCTTGTAAAATAACTATTAACTTATGTATTTCGTCTTACAATTTCGCGTAGTGGCAGAAAATCCTTGAATAACTACATAAACTTATAACTTTACTATACATGAAACATTTATCGAAATATTTTAGAAAAGTCTCTGTGTTTATTTTAATAGAAGGACAAAGCCGATACTAAATGAAATTCTCTTCATTATCGCCTTCTATTATTCATAGTACTTCATAGAACCGCGTTCGTACAAATAAAGAGAATATTAATGAAGCCAAATAGAGCTTGAGACTAAGTATATAAGTTTTCATCCGTAGCTGTTCTAAAGAAAAAAGAAACATTCTCCAGTCGCTATAGCTTCAGTAGAAGTTTCTAATTTCTGTAGAACAGCACGGGTGAACAATAAGTTAAACATATACTTAGAATTTGAGAAAACAATTTTCTTAAGATCAAAACAGCAGAGTTAAAAAAAATGTTTCGGCTATAATACATACATGAATTATGTATAAAATAAAGCAAACAGAAATAACATCAAGTCTAGCAATGCCATACAATCAGCACAATGTAAGTGTATAGATTGCCATATATTTAATGATTATTGTCTTAAAGTAAACAACTGTAAACGAGTACGTATATGATTTCTGAACGAAGTATTTTGAAAACAATAAGACAGATTTCAGCCAGCAAGAATAAATGGTTTTTCTTTCGTTGTTGATAAATATGTTTACAGAACATAATTTTCTCTCATTACTATACATACGCTATTTTTTAATAAATACACAAAATCATTTTGACGTACATATTATATAAAGAAAAATATGTGATCTTGAATAAGTATAGGAAGAGGCTCACATTATATCATTTTATTCCCCGTGTTTAATACATTTAGTTATACAGGTACACGAATAAAATATCATTTATATCATTTACCCAAATCACTGTTTACAGTCAACGGGAGTTTTATTATTGACGCACCTACACTGTTAGGCCAAAGTCATAATCTTTATTAAACATAAATGATGACACGTCAAATTAGAAGATATATGACTTGTTCTAAAGGGTAAAAGCCCTGGTGTTTGATGTTTTTGAAACTTATGATCAAGCTACTTTGCCAGACATGCTGGTAATGAATTTAATTGTTTAAAACATTTGTTTAATCGCATAAAACTGTCACGAAATAATTATCGTTTTATTAAAAACACGGTCAGTAGGAACATATCTTATCTTTTTAGTTTTTGCAAATAGGGGTCGTTATAAAAGCACAGCAAAAGGAAAAATATAAATTAATAAAAGACCTTCACCAATTATTTGAAAATGCATGTCTTAGTTATTTTACGTTTTTTATGCTTGAAAATCGTTCATGATGTTTTAATTTAAAATAATAGAAATGCTGCCGATATGTTTATATGATTTTTGATGTTAGTCTATAAAAAGTTACTTATGGTCTAAAACTAAGATAATGTGTGTGTCCTTAACGAGAAATCAATTGATAAACTAATCAAAGATAGAAATTAAGGACTACAAAGCCTCTCAGTCAAACCGGACCTGCAACTATTCAATGTTTGCAAATTGTGTGCCATTCCAGATTTTCACTAATTTATTTTCAGGCCCCAACAACAATTCTTTTCACACCTGAAAAGGTTTTCCATTCATTTGGATATCAAGCAGAAGATGAATACGCTGATCTTGCTGAAGAAGATATTCATACAGATTGGTATTACTTTAGGAGGTTTAAAATGGTTCTACATCAGAAAGAAGTAATCACTTAACGCTTCTTTATTTATTTAATTTTTGAATAATAGTTGTTATTTTTTAACCTTATTTGAAAACATAAAAGAAAAACAACATATTAAAATATTGGAGAATGATTATATTTTCTTTTCATCTTGTCAAGTTAAAGGAATCTGTTTTAAATGCCATGGCATTTTTTCGTACATAAAGAATAATTATGGTAAAAACTGGAACATAAATTGTGTTTGTAATTTTAGTAAAATCAGACCATGTCCAGAAAGACATTGTTGTATGACGAAAACAAGAAGGCATTGTCAGCTATACAGGTGTTCTCGTCAGCGATAAAATTTCTGAAAGACCATCTCTGCAAGGAAATCTCTAAGGAAATGACAGAATTTGAAGAGCAGGATATATTTTGGGTGTTAACAGTACCTGCGATATGGACAGATGCAGCCAAAAAGTTTATGAGGGAGTCTGCATTGGAGGTATATATCTTTACATGTTGATACTGACATGTCTTAGAAAAACAAGGGTTTGTAGATATCTCATGTTTGTTTGTATTATCTCTTAAATCCATTTATAAATTGTTTTTGTAATTGGTTTAACTGTATAAGTTGAATCAGCTACCTTATGATAACTGCTTATGCGTAATCATTATTGTATGTAATTGGTGCAGGAAAGTAACAGTTATTAATTTATAAATTTAACTCAAAACTGAAAACAATCAAATGTCCGTCAATTATTACGAAGAAATTTTAGAGTTGTCCTTCATTTCAGGCTGGTATAAAGTCAGATTGTTTATCCTTAGCACTTGAACCTGAAGCAGCCTCCATGTTTTGCAAGCTCCTCCCGGTTGACCGCCTGAAACATAACAATTCGACATCTACTGAGGCTTTTAAACCAGGAACAAGTTACATTGTTCTTGACCTTGGTGGTAAGTTGTTAAGACATATATTTGTTAAATACGTCATGCGTCGAATACACATACTCATGTCAAAGTAAGAAGAAGAGGAAAAGATTGATAGGCAAATCTGTACTAGTATGTGACACATTTTTATTCAATAATAATAAAAATAATAATAATAATAGTTATGAAAGCAATGAAAACAACAACAACAACATCAACAGCAGCAGCAGCAACAGCAGGAACAACAACAACAACAAAAATAATGACAATAATTTATAATGAAAATAATAATAATAATAATAATAATAATAATAATAATAAAAATAATAATAAAGTAATAATAATAATAAACAACAACAACAATAATAATAATAATAATAAATAAATAATAATAAAAATAATAAGAATAATAATTATAATAATAATAAAAGTAATAATGATGATAATCATAATAATAATAATAATAATTATAAATAATAATAATAATAATAATAATTATGATAAAAAAAAAAATAATTATAATTATAGATAATAATAATAATAGTAGTAATAATAATATGATGATAATAATAATACAATTGTAAAAATGAAAAATAATAAAATATCAATAAGTAAATCTTATTTCAGGTGGCACTGTTGATGTGACTGTTCATCACCTAGGGTATGATGGAAAGCTTCGTGAAATCGCTCGTGCAAGTGGCGGTGCGTGGGGTGGTACTCAAGTTGATGAAGCATATTTAAGATTTCTCCAAAATGTCTTTGGCAATGAAGTATTTCAAGCATTCAGAGAAAACAACACAGCCGATTTCCTTGAAATGCTGAGAGAATTTGAAATTAAAAAGAGAACTATAAATAAAAAGAAAGAAGGCAACATTGTTATAAGGTTTGCAGCTTCCCTTTCCGAAACATACAAAGAAAAATGCAGCAAACCTCTTGATAATCACATATTGCCAGAGCATCTAGGATCATCTGTCCAAATAAAGCGGGATAAAATACATGTTGATGCAAACACAATGAAGAAATTCTTTTCAGAATCAATCAGCAATACATGCAAACATGTTAGGAAAATTTTGGTAGAGAACGAATTCAGAGAAATCGATACGTTATTGCTTGTTGGGGGATTCGCTGAATCGGAAATAGTTCAGGAGAGCGTGAAAGAAGCATTTCCAAACAAAAGAGTCATTGTTCCTAGCGAACCTGGCTTAGCCGTTTTAAAAGGGGCAGTACTGTTTGGCCATAATCCTATGATTATGAAATCAAGAGTAAGTAAATACACTTATGGAATAGAGCTCATAAATGAATTTGTCGAAGGAATAAGCCCAGAGAGGTACAAAGTTTTTGAAGGCGGCATTTATAAATGTAGGTTTATTTTTTACCCATTTGTTCGAGCTGGTGACCTTGTTCCAGTTGGTAAAGTCGTCAGAAAACAACTTTTTTCAGATACCTTTGATGTGAAAGAAGGGCTTGGAATATATGCATCTACAGAAGAATATCCAAAGTATGTTGTTGATGACAGCTGTTTTCGACTTGGGACTGTGCACTTTGATAAACCTCATCAACCATACATGCTTGAAATGCATTTTGGAGAGGCAGAAATCAGTCTGAAATTTATCTTTGAATCAGGTGTAAATAAAACAAAGGAATTGGATTTCTTGTGTACGTAGGGACATGACATCTTCAGCGAGTGTTAACTCAGGCTGCTAAAATGGTATTTTATATTTCAACAGTGATAAATGTGACATTCCTATCATAAATGTTTTGTTAAACATCTTTCGAAACATTATTAAAAAAAAACAACAACAACAAAAAACTTTATACAATCTAACATCATATATAACACATATGTTAGCAGGTCACCTAGGTAAGATGACTTGCAAAGCTGAATAAGTGTCTTTCTTTGAAGTCTTTACAAATCCACTTTAATTAGCCTGTTTGTTGTATGCCATTTTGTCGTCACTGAATAATAAATAGGACATCTGAACGACAAATTATCGTATTGACAATTTCGTACACACACATACTTTGAAAGGTCGCTATTAATAACTAAATGTTTTTTATCTTTGCAATGACTTGTAATTGTTAGATTATGTATGCTTCCTATCGTTTTGAACATAGTTTATCTGATTTGATGTTGTTAATGTATTAAATATATTCTATCTTACTTTATTTGATATCATGTTTGGAGCTCTGTAAAATCAAGTACATTTTAGAATGTATACGTTACTTAGAAATTTAATTGAATAACAGCAATGGAAATAAATGGTAAGATTTTCGTTTCTTTTATAATTATATTTGAAAAATATATTTGTGTTTTGGTTGTATCTACTTTTGCACTATAGTGTCACCCATTTTCTGTGATTCATTTAATACTGTCGTACCTTACATACATTATCATTTATGCAATTTTAATGCTTGTTTTCTATTCATTAAATACTGATTATAATAGTTTTCTTCTGTGATATAATCGGATATGGTTAAATATTTTAATATTAACATCTGGTTGTCATTTGGGATGCATAATATTAACATCTGGTTGTCATTTGGGATGCATAAACCAGTCTGATTAAAACTGTTTGGATAATGCAATACCGTATTAGAGAACAACAGCAGTCTGTTTCTGATTTTCATGTGTATTTATCTTGTTTAGTGGTGGTTCCAGTAGTCTGTTTGAAATACTGTGTAGTCACCATTACAATGTTTGCCTGATTTTTAAATTTGTCTTTTGATGACTGTCTATGATACATAGGCTTCTTATCATTTTTCAATTTCGTTCAGTTTAACTCTTTTTCTTCTTTTTTAAGAAATTTACCATACACCATAATGTTATTTTCTAATAATACAGAATCAAGACGAAAGTAAAAATAATGCAATATATTGGGAATTCAAAGTATATTGTGAGTTCTATGGAGAGAATTAAATAAGACTTATATAAAACTGTAATCGATGTCAAATGAATATGGCCATTATCTAAGGACTGCAAAATAATCTGCGAGATAGAAGCATACGATGATTATAAGTAATATCTGTCATGAACAAACTCAGTTCAACTTGGTCTGCCAGTTCCATCATTAGTTAAAATAAGTCCATCAAACTGCAAACTTCATCATAGATTTAATTGCGCTTGATCACACAAAATAGGTGAATTGTTAAAAATGATACAATGTTTTAGTACAACCAAGAAATGACGTTAAGCATTTGCATTTAGAAGGCAGAAACGATTTTTGAATGGAAACTTTTCTATAAAAGGCTTCCAGATGATTCCATCTGCCTGATGATTTAAATTTCCTGTGTTGATGTTTGCATTTCTTACGTTACTTTTTGTACTTGTGTGCTTCGGGCAAGCATTACTGTGTTATCGAGAGTGGCTGTATGTGTTTATTGATACAATGAATGCAACTTGTTTATAGTTAAATACACTAATCTCCAATCACATTAAATGTTTTCCATGTCTATAAAGTTTTATTTCCTAACATTAATAAATCACCACTCGTATTTCTTTTAAAAATTCCCCCAAAGGTCAATTGGTAAATGTTTTGTCATCATTTTAAGCACCATTTACATAAAATAAAGTTAATTATCTAGCAATATTCTATTGCCAATGATATTACAAAAATGTCGATAGTGATATAAGGAAGGAATTAGGATGACTTTCAAAAAAGTCACAATAAACTTGATTGCATTTGTTTGATGAATCATCAGATGATTTAGTCTTCATGATGCAACAAAAAGTACAATAAACTTTATTGCATTTAGTTGATTAATCAAACGATGCAACAAAAAGCCTTGTATGTTAAAACAAGACCGTGACATTACATGTATGTAGGTTAATAAAAACATAAATTCTAACACTATCGGTTTTTTTTTGTATATAAACAAAGAAGGCCCGAAGCGTGCATTATTAATACTGTTAATACAACAATGCTCTCGCCGTTCTTATTATCTCCCTGTGTATTTTCACATTGAGGGTGCCATTTTGTTTAAAAATCTTATAAAATAAAAACAACGTTTTGGCGAATTTTGTTGTGAAAGCTATCTAGAATGAAAGAAAATAGTGTAACTAAGAAAATGAATTCGAACACCAATATCTTTAATTCAGTCGTTAACGCTGTACTGACGTTTAAAGTGTTGTTTTCATGACGGCACAATGTAGCGCCAAACAGCACGTGCAAAACAATCAAATCAAGTACGCTATTTTAATGTCGCAAACGAGTTAAGTTTTACATTTATTTCACTTTTAATATTTTGTATTTCGTTTGAAAAATTATAGAGTGAAATAAAATAAACAAACTAAGTGTTATCAACGTTTTCAAACTTCGTTATTCTAAAAATGCTTCTACACACGGTAGATTTAACGACAGTTTTTTCAACCCACTGGAACAGCCTTTAAAGAACGTTTCTATGGGAAACTCTCAGGCGAAAGCAAATTTAACCACCAAACATAAAGTCCAACTTTATAATAATAATAATTATATTTTTTCTTGTCGTGTTAGAATGGAAATTCGCGCATTATTGTATAATAATGCACGTTTTTCGTTCAAATGCTTTGTAATTAATCACTCAGGCCTGATTATATTACTACTATTGTTGTATTACAACAATGCACTTAGAATTGATATCTATTTCCTAAATATTGTCAACCGTTTATATTTTACATAATTAACCCTATCCATGCTGAGAATGAAACATAGAAATAAGAACTATGCAAGGATGTTGCAGCAGATTTCTAGAACGTCGACTTTATCAAGTCCACGTAACTAAAAAAGAAAAAAAAAACATTATTAAAGGGAGGGGCCACTATTTCTATAAAAATCCTTGAAAAATGTAAAACGCGTTGCATTAGTATTATAGAATTGTAAATATCACTTTGCCTCCCTTGTTTTTAGAACTAAACGAGAAGACAACACGATTTAAGTCACTTAACATTTTATACTGACGTTTCTGTCATGATTTTGATTCTCTTTCATTGTATGGACGTGTGTTTAAGGATTTAGTTTTTAAAATGACGAAATAATTATTTATACACCGTATCTGTTTAACATATGATTATATTTTGTTACGAGCCCGGCGTCGAGAAAAAAAAAGCCGAACAATTGTAAAAATCAAATTTTTTACAGAAAAAAATAAAAAAAGATTTAAAAAAAAATTTTCTTTTCAAATACCTGAAATC